TTCCAGGGGGGTGTCGCTCTGCTCTGGAGCTACATCAAGACTGCATCAATCATCAAGGATGCTTTTCACTAATCTTCACTCACCAGAGAAGGCTGCTGGCACGCTAGCTTGCAACGATCCTACCTCTAGGGTAAGGATGGCTCTGTGACCAGGTCGCAACTCTGTTGATGAATTGTAATATTAGGTGCGTATAAACATCCAGATCATCAAAGCAACGAGAATCTGCAGCACAGGAGGTCACAATTCAGAGCAGGGTCTGTGACCCTGAAATTGCATTTGGACACTGATATGATATTAAGAGGAAAGTAAAATAATGTTTGTTTTGTATAATCACTTTCCTAAATTCTCTGTTAACCAATTTATAATTTTGGGTAAGGGACTGAATGGGTTTTTGCCCTGTTCTATAGATTAAAATTATCACATGATTATAATATATATCTTTGTCAGCAATATAGCCAACAAGAAAATGTTTGGATTTTGTTTGGTATGTGTAAATTAATCATTTTTTTAAATTCTCTGTTTCTCTTTAATATTTATTTGACCAACTGAATTTATTTTTCAAATAGAGGTAGGGTTGTTGGTGAGCAGACGTGCCACAAACAAGACAGCAACCCAGGTTACAATCTCCCGAGTTATTAAATTTTGAAACAGGTGCAGACACTGACTTTATTCTAGAAAGGTATAACACAAAGCAATCATCACACAAGCACCAGCTATCAGTGATCAATGCCTATATGGTGACAGCCAAGCCTGGTCTTAGAGGAAGATAAGGGAAAGTTTTTGTCCAAAGCCTTTCAACTTGTAAGTGTCTTGCCTGTAGAAAAAATTCTATAGGGATGGGATGGTGTGAAAGCACCCGTTTGCAATGTTTGTGTCAGGAAAGTTTTAATTAAATCTGACACCTGTGATCAAGATCAGATTTATTATTCATAAGGAACTACAATTGATAATCAGGAAAAGTAATTTATTTTGTGAACCCCCAAGATCTGGGTAGACACACATTATTAAAAGTTTCATTTATGCTTAGCCTTGGTATCATTACTAGTTGTGTGATGCAATTGTTTGTTATGTCAATAATGATATCAAATGTATTGAATAATAAGCATGACCATTGTGAATATTTCTTGGATGGAGGCATTTACATACAAAGAAATGATTAAATAGCCAAGTCATTTTTGTTTTAAAGACATATGATTAATTATATTTAATATATACAATAAAAAATTGCATGGAATCTAAGATTGCACCATTATGTCAATCAAGCTATCATGTTGTGAATGATTTAAAATTCTTTTGTGCTAATTTATAGTCCCATCTTTCTTTGCTTATATATAATCTATGGTTCCCTTTTTACTGGTCCAATGATGTCAAATTGGGTAATTGGGTATCAGTAAATATCAGAATCTGATTATTCTTTAAAAAAATAATCAAGGTATTAGCATACTGATAAGTTAATAATATTTTTAGTATTTTTATCATATAGTCTAAAAGCCTATTAGTAAATGATATTCTTCCAAAATTAATCCTATTTTTTAGTTAATTATTGGCTTAATTTAATAAACCAATAACTCTTTTATATTGTAATTAAATTATTGGTTAAATATTTCTAAAGCTCTTTGTGCTAAAATAATATCACAATCTTCAGTAGTATTAGATTTCTATTCAAATAAAGGTTTACTCGAATAAAACAAACAATTTGAGTAAAAAATAATTTGAATCAAATAAAATGACTTAAACGAATAAAGCAAATTAATCGAATAAAGCAAATAAAACGAATAAAACGAATAAAGTGTATAATTCAAATAAAACGAATAAAACAAATAATTCGAATAAATGAATAAAACGAATAAAACGAATAAAACCGAATAAAACGAGTAAAACGAATAAAACGAATAATTCGAATAAAACAAATAAAACGAATAAAACAAATAAAACGAATAAAACAAATAAAACGAATGAAAGACAATGCTTTGATAAACCGAATATATATATTAATATTAAGGGTTACGCATTGCATATGACACATGGTACGGCATAAAAAAGGGTTATGTGAATTCGGTATATTGGACTGTCAACCCGATCGTTCGGAACTCTAACAGTGACCTTTTTCTAAATACAACTCACCAGGAGACATAGAAAAAAACAATCATTATGTGCAGTAATAATTTCACAATCTAAAAAAAAAGATGATATGAATTAAACTCAAAAAAACTGGCAATAAATATTTCATATCTTTTTTTTAAAAAAGTCTAATTTTATTTTTGAGATATATAAAACACCCTTGGTGATGAAATCACATGATTTTGGAGAGCCAATCAGTTTTACAAACGTGATGAATGATTTTAGTGATAAAAATAAATGAATCATCATTTAAAGATACAAAATCTTAATAGGAGTCAAAACCCAAAAGAAAAATCACAATATTAAAGGATTTCTTCACTATTTACAATTTCTGTAATTTCTCAATGTAACTTTCACAGGTGGTAACTAGTGATAGTAATAGGCATTTTTGAACATTAATATGTATAATGCAAATATATAAAACCTAAATAAAAAAAATTACTTTATTAAATAAAATAATTATTTCTTAATCATTTTCATATCCATCTGATTCATATAATTCAACTGTGCTATCTGACTCATTTGATTCATTATCACTTCCTTCATCACCTTTCCTAATCTCATCATTTAAATTCCCTTCCACTTCAGATAATTCATTATCTTCATTTTCCCAAAATAATTCATCCTCATCTAATCAATACAACATTTTTGTGTATATTTTTTAAGATGTTGTTCACAACAATTTGCAGCAGCAAGCAATTTATGTGAACAATAATTACACTTTGTAAAATGAGACCAAATTTTGCTAAGTGGAGACATAAAATAATTTTTTTATAAAAAAATTGTGTAGCATTACAGTACATGTTCATTATATTATTTATTGGGACATTATGTGCACTCTAAAAAACTTGGTGCACATTATGCATTATGCAATATTGCCCACCTCTAGTGGTAACAACATTAAAAAAAATTATGTAATTAAATGGTAAAATATATTAAACAGAATAAAATAATACAAATATAAAAAAAATTTTTTTGATTGCTTCTTTTTATCATCAAAATCACCACTATAATATCTGATATCATATTATCATCACTGCCATCATTTTTCATTTCATATGCATTGGCATAAATACTGAAGCATTACTGTCAAAATTATATTCAATTAAACTATTTGGTTGAATTTTTTTATTTGATGAATCATCATCATCATCCATTGATATAGTAGCCAATTTGTTATTAGCCTGCTCAATTAATTTACTAAGTGAGCAACTTGTATAGAATGCATCTACATGGTGTTTGTAATTTTTTGCTCCTGAAAGATATTTTTCTGATTTAATTATCTCTTGGCGTTTTGATTCTGCTAATTCAATGATTTTTTTCATTTTTTCAGAAGATTCATGATGATATTTCCAGAAACATTCATTAAGTTCTTCAGAAGTTGGTCTATTTGCTGGTTTTGGATCCCAACATTTTTTCATCAATTCAGCATAGAATTCAGGAGTGTCTTTGGTGACTTTAGGTCTCATTCCTCCCAGAATATCCATTATTAGATGTTGATCATGTGGAACATTATAAAAAGGTTTTTTACCTGTGGTGAATTCCCACATAATCATTCCAAAACTATAAATGTCTGATTCTTTTGTATATTGTTTACCTGATAATACTTCAGGTGCCAGGTATGGAATGACTCCAAAGATCTCATTTGGATTCTCATTTTTATTTATTATTTGTTGGCATGATCCTAAATCTCCTATTTTACTATAAGCTTGATTGTATGAGAAAATATTACCACTGTGCAAGTCATGATGAACATAATTATTTATATGAATATTCCATAATCTAATTTATTTTAATAATAATAATAAATGTATAAAGTTAATTTTATAAAAAAAAAATTTTAATCAATAACAAAATTAAAAACCTGCCCTTCTGAAATCCAATCAAGTGATTCAATTTTATCTCTCCAAGTAATTTCCTTGAAATTTTTTGATAAATAATTATGTAAATCTCCATTTACAGCATATTCAAATACCAACATATATTCATTTGTGCTTGGATCTTTTGTAATTCCAAAGCATTGATTGACCATACTAGCCATTTTACTATTTGCTTTTAACTAAAAATTATCAATGATTATAAATATAATTAATATTATTTCTTATATATAACAATAATTAATATTACCTCTTTTAAAATATCTATAATTTTATCATTTGAGTTATATAATCTTTTTAATACCACATTTGTTTCAGATTTATCATTAAGTATATGGCAATAGTTAATCCATATTGCTTTATGAACTTCACCAAAACCACCTTTAGCCAAATATTCAATATTTTTTAATTCATTAAAAGGAATCCATTCAATATCATTGTATCTATTTATTTTACACTCATAAAGAAACTTGGCTATTTCTTTATTTCCACAATCAGCCTCTAAGTTTTCAATTTCCTTTTCTTTGCAACCATTGCATAATACAACTTTATTCAATCCAACATCTGTGTAAATTAAATTTTGATATGATTTTCTAATTAATTTTATGCTTTCTTCTTCCTCATTTTCTTTTAATCTATTTGAAAGTTCATTTAATGCATCAATTGATTTATTCAAATACTTCATAAGATCATAATCATCTTTTATCCAATTTTTTTTACAATTGGTACAATTTTCTATTAATTTTAATGTTCCAAGTAATTCATTTAAAATAATATTATGAATCCTAATTTGCCCACCATATATATTTGGAGCTGGTTTACATAATAAATCATACCTTGGATAAATTGATTCAAACAATAGTTTCAATTCATTTGCCAATTCACTTGGAAGTTTATTTATCTCCGTCATCTTTTCAGAAGAGAAATATAAATGTATCAAGATTTTTTTCAAATGATTCACAATTTACATGTCACACGTGATTATAAAAAATCAAATTCTCCCTTATACATTATTTTATGGCTTAATTTTTAGTTAATAATACTACTGTTACAGCATCACCAATTATACTGATAATTGCAATAATGAAAGTGATCAAACTAAAGATTTTGGATTTGTTGATAATAATATATTAATGTTTATAATTTATTATGTTCATTAATTCAATCAAATAATTAGTTATTATTATCATGACTGTTTAGATTCAATTGAAAGTTGAGATATTTCCACCAATGGAAGTTATCCAGATGAATGGTCAAAACTTAAACAATTATAGCGACAACACCTAGTTTTTGGTTGCGTCTCTCCTCATTACTGGAAGCCTTTACAAAATCCGTGTGTGGCAATGGAAAGAAATTTATATTAATATCGCACCATTACAAGTTAGTTGGTAAGAATGAGTAAAATTCTAAGTTTAAGGAAATCGGAAATTGAAACAAAGTTTAAAACTCTAAACTTTTCCAAAACCTCCGAAACCAAAACAATTTATCGGCTGAAATTTTTTTAAATGTTGCAAAAATTATATCACCGAGTAGACTATAGTAGACTCCTCTTCTGAAATCATTTCAGAGAGTCTCGGATCGTTAATTTCTATAGAAGCAAAACAAAGACATCAATAGATAATGATCAATGTAAAATGGAAACCAGACAAATCCTTGGACCTATGGATGTTCAGCTTTGTCGAAAAAAAATGCATGTATTATAAATTTTTTGCATTTTAACTTTATTGGATGACGGGCTTCTTTTCTATTAATTAGGAATTTGTTGGTCCATAAAAAAGTCAATTTAAATTTTTCGAAAACATTAAGTGTAGTACTACTGTTGAATGATGATCTATCAATGTTAATGGGAGTCTATTAGAAGATAACTTTGATGCATTTAATGTAAGTGCTAATGATAATGATGACGGTTCTGTTGCAAATGGATAATAATGATGGCAAACATCTGTCAGGTCAATCAATTTACTCATTCATATACCTTGGGTAATTTTTTTACTAGTATCTTTGTTATTATTAAGTTGGATCAGGCGCAATATCAGAAAATTAAAATTGTAAGTTTATACTATGTTAGTAATAGTAAGTTTTACACCAACTTAATTTCCGGATGTCTTTCTTGATCTGCCGAAAGGACTCACTCCTGAAGGTATAACAGAATTTCTAGCATTTGTACGAAAATCATAAGAAAAGATATTAATTGCTTCCACGAGATAAAAGTACACAGAAAACTGATCAGGAATAAAGGGAAAAACAAAAATTACTTTAAATTATTGTATTAATGATAATGGGCGCAAAATAAAATAATAATGCTTTGCTCTAACTGTTAAAGTCTTGCATTAATGTTTCAAAATTGCATAACTATATAGGAGAAGGTGTAGTAGTATCTTTAACACAATGCTACATACATCACACACCTGTTATTTTATTTTTATTTTTGACTTGGCTTTCATTTTCCTCGTCCGAATTTTCCAGCTTTCTTTTCTGATGGAAAAGGAAGCAGATGTATGCACCAAGTTAAAAATTGGATAAAACAAATAAGAGAGTGCAAAGAAGAAATTTCTCTCTCAAACATAAGCATTCTAGTTTATCTGACCAACTATCCTCCCAAAAGACGCAAGTGATAAGCTTACCTTGTTATTTTTGCGAGTTGTTAGAAGTTCGAAGCATCTTATTTTCTGTTTCTTCCAATTCCTTGAGTCGTTTATTAAATACTATATAGTAATCTTGGATCTGTTCATAATTATTTATCTTGTTTTCGAGATCGCTATCTCTTTCCATCACTTTGGTGTCCATATATACATACAGTATATTTACAAGAAAAGTTACTTAACTGGGCCAACCTAATTTTGATAATTAAAGAACATTTTAATAAATAAATGAATAATTAGACGGATTAACTGGTTCATTACATTTATCATCAACATTGTTTACTCTTGGGAACGAATATGATGATAATAACGTTAAAAATATACGTGATAATGATACTAGAGATGAATGTGTCGAAGATTGTGAAGAAGGAAATAATTTTTTTAATGAGAAATTATCCTTTATTTAAAATTGAGTTTTCATCGGATCTTACTTTCAAAGCATATTTTTTTAGAGACAAATAATACTCTGGACAAAGTAGTAGTATATTCTTTTACTTTTTTAAAGGTGGAGAGCCTTTTTTTCCTCGCATTAATTGACAAAAAATTAATAAAATTACGTGGTAAATTCTTTACGAAAAAATTAATTTCAACTGAAAAATTGTCTTTGCTGGCTTTTTTATTAACGTCATCTTCATAAGAAACAACAATGGCATTTTTAATTTCACATACAACATGCATATATATTAATTAAACTAATCTCTTCGACCAGGAAACTAATTAGCTCTAGCTGAGAGAGAATTATCATTGTTGTTGTTGAAATAAACTTATTACAATTTTGATTCAGATTAAAAAATTAGATGATAATTATAGTCAATATTTTTTACCTTTGACAATTTGAAGCCCGAGTAAATATTATTTAACTCATATACTATATAATATATATATATATATTACTTATTCATATTTGAAAATCATATGACAATCACTTGATTTTGATAAAACATGTGTATAATTTGGGAAAAGTCTATGAATTTGAGCCATGAATCAATCAATTGATTTAATGATAAAATTTGAACGAACGACTATTCATCCTAGTGATCAAGCGGAGTTGGAGAAGAGATCGTCGTAAGCGACTTCGATGAGCCACAATTTTGAGCCTATGACGACGTAAACATAAAATGCCATGCTTAGACTGAAGATAGTTTACTTAAATGATAATATTAATTAAATACAGTTTTCAAATATTAAAATATTACTTATGTGAGTAATAATTTACATCAATAATTGCCGATCAAGTCAATGTGATCAAGTGAAGTCTTGGATGAGACAACTTGTTATTATCAAAAACAAGATTCGAACCAATTGCAATAGATAGACAACCAGACTTCTACTTCTACTCATTATTTAGAAACGCAATGAAAAAATTGCTATTAATCCAAGTCAGACTTGAGGAACAAAGATTTAATGATATGATATAGTAAAAGAAATAAAAAGAAGAATATATCGAGACAAATGCATAAACGATGGTTTGATTTAGAATAGATAATGAATTGGTAATTTATAGTAATGTCATACATCTTTCTTTATATATTTATAGAATGGAAAAATTGTTTCTTTCATGGGAATAATCTTGTGTGGTCCCAGCGCTAATACTAATTAATTAACAGTATTTCAATGTAGCAAATAATCTCCTAACTATTTTGTGTTTATTGCTACAAAATTAAATCTGCAGGTATAATTAAGGAGTGAGTGCAGGGTTGGTGATAGACCGGGTCCATTGAGACAAATTAAATATGGTTAAAATGTTACACGGACAGTGTAAAGAAATAAATACTTTGAACTATTTATAATTAATATAATATTAATTATAAATAAAAATAATAAATATTTAATTAATTCATTTTAAAAAAGAGTCCTATCATTTCCATCAACATCAGCTTTTATCAGTTACATCAGCAGCATTTTTGAATTTTTGTAAATTCGTGACACCCAAAAGAGAAGCACAAACTTTAAATTTAGGTTTAATTTGTTGATTTTCGAAATAATCAGATTTTTTGAGGGGAAAGGAAATAGAATAACTATAATTATTTATATTATTTATTATTTATTATATATTTGAGAGATACATAGATTAGAAAAGGAATCAACAATAAAATTCAATCACACTTTACTATTACTATAAAATTGGATCCTTTTTTTTTCGCATCCAAAAGAAAATACATATTAATAGGTAAATAACCCAACTTTCCTGAATTCAGTCTTGCTTTTTTATACCATCTCGTTGCCATTTATGTAAATCATTTTGTGAATACTAATTACTAATTATTTATTACTAATTATTATACATTGTTGATTAACCAAATAATCATCTAAATACTAAAATTGAACGGTGACTAAAAAAAAATAGGAGTGAGTGGTTTATCTTTTTTAAAAAAAGATCGGTGTTCAATCATGTCATTATCATCCATCATTGAACTATCAATTCATCTTCTTTTAATGTGCGCTCGTGTAACATGTAAGCGATATTTTTATCGTTATCTTACCATATTAATATAAAAACGAGAAGCTGTCATAAATTTTTGTTAGAAAAAAAAACTTTTTTAATTCTTTTTTTACTTTTAAAAAAAAAAAAAATGTCGCATAATTCCATAATTTTAAACAAATCAACTGCACCAAAACCTTTGATTCCTTTCACCATACTACCAAGTCCTTTTCAAACCGTAATTGTGATCAGTGCAACACAATATCAACAAGCCATACAAAAAATAAATGTGCTTGATAATGAAATTCGAAATGCTGGTGGTATACCTCACCGCAAATTTTAAATTTTGTAAAGATTTTGTCCTATATTTTTTATTTTTGTTTTTGTTATTAATAAATATTGTTGTGCAATATAAAAATAGTAAATTTAACGCATATTCAAGATGTTAGCAAGAAACAAAAGGCCAGTTATTCGAACATCATTGCAGAATTGATTCCATTATATGCGAAAATCAATCGATTAATTCCATTATATTATATTGTAACAAAGAATAATGATATAGCAGCAAAAAATATTATCACGATGGTAATATAGTTCTTCTTGATTGTTTTATTTTTCTGATGAAAGTCTTTGTCGCATATATATATATATTCATAAATATTCATAATCTTATTTTCTAGAAATATCTTATTCAAAAACAATTTATAGCACTTCCCGATGAACAGTATTTCTTAAGGATCGGTGAATTACAAAGACACAAGGAATTACTTTACCAACTTGAGAAATATGAATACGCAATAGAAAAACTACAAAATTCTGGAGGGTATATCGCTTGTAAACTACAATATGTCACACGAGATCATGAAAAAACGCCGTCATATTCATCGCTATTATCACCAGCAACTTCATCATCTTCAACAAATTCAGCGGCAACATCAACGAATGATGACAGCAGGGAAGAGGATGATGATGACGATGATGACGATGATGATGATGATGATGATGATGACGATGACGATTATGAAAATGTTGGCGAACTTGGTTTCGTTACTCAGCTAAGTTCTGGAGCAGGTGCACTTGCAAAATTTTTATCTTTGGTTAAAGATGAAGGTGAAGATTCATTTGGTCAACTTTCAAGTCAAGCTGGAGATTTGTCTGTGCCAAGGAAATTTTCAAGTCATCCAAATAATAATATTAATCATAACACTGATAATAACAGTAATAAAAATCTTAAAAGTAATAATCATAAATTTAATAATTTTTATAATATTAGTAGAATAAAAAAATCAATATTAATAAGTTATTTTCAAATAACAATAACATTATTATTACAAAAAAAGGAAAGAAAATTTTTCTTAAGAACAATGATCTTGCTAATTGGCTAGAAGAATCAAGAAACTCAAAGAGACCTTCTAAATAATATGTTTTGGAAATTTGGTGAATATAATAAAAACAATTTTATGCTATTTTCAAGTTTTTTTTTTTTATTATTAAAATTACTATTGTTGAATATGCAAGATTATATAAATGGTAATTGTTTTTCTGTATCTGATAAACTAACCTTGAATGGATCTATGTAATACAAAGATGGATTATTATTATTCCGTAAAATTTGTGGCGTTTTGCCATCTCTTCACTTCAAAGTTGTTGTCCGTCTAATTCTTCATTTTCATTTTGTAACAATGTCTCAAAAGAAACAAAATAACTGAATATATATATAGGCATATAATGAAAAACCTACTTATTCGTGTAAATACTACATAATCCAATTTCTCTTTTTAAATCGGTCGTTTTATCTTTTTCGTCTGATTATGACCCCGAATATGCTTTGGCGCAACTAAGTGAACTATACATGTGGGCGAAACCTAGTGACACTTAATCATCGCGTGGTGGCAGCTAATCAGTCAGTTATACGGTTGCAATTTTATTTTGCATATACAATCATATGATAATCATGTGATGATTAAGTGTCACTGGGTTTCTTCCAAATAGTAAAAAAAAATGTACATGTTACGTTTGGAGTAAATTTTCAATCTGTACAAAGAGTTCTAGTTAGTATAATCAGGGATCCTGTCTGATTTCATTTTCGTAGTACAAAATGAAGAAAACTCGGATGTAATATATATATGTGGGGCATATTGCAACAAAGTGAACATTGTGCCACACAGAATTACAGTGATCAAAATTCAGTAATTAATCTACCAGTATGACATCACTAGTAATAATGTATATATTTTGAAATTTATAAATGCAAAATCACAAAGAAATTGAAAATATTTCTTATGAATAATATAAATGATAGCATAATAGTTGTGGAAATTAATTTACTAATTGAAAAATTTGCTATTGAAGAAACAGGGAAAAATCAAGATAAATTAACAACTTATTTTTGTGAATGATTTTCCTAATGAGAGAATTATAATATTGCAAGAACTAAAACAATTATAAAATCTAAACCAATATATAATAACACCAATTGTCAAGATTTTGGATTATCATGAAAGTTAAAAAAAACTGCAAGAAAGCCAGATTAAATATAAAAAAGAATAGTTAAAAAGTCGCCAAGAAAGGCATTGGGAATCTTAATCAACTTTGAGAAAAGGTTAAAGAGAAAGGATGGTTAGAATACTAACCAGTTTGGATTAAGCAATATTTGACAAGAAACCATTTTATCAACAAAATAATTTGCCAGTTGAAATAAGTATGATGATTGAATAAATGGTGACTGCTGCTTATGCTGCTTTTTCACAACAAAGAATTTATAAAGATTTAATTGAGAAAAAAGAGTTCATTTAGAAAATATTGCCAAATTTCAAAGATATACAAAAGATTTAGTGAAAGAAAAAAGAAAGATATTTAGCCAACACTCAAGAAGCTCTAGATACTGAAATGGTTGGTGTAGTGGCAATCATCTAAAGACATCACAAAATTTGCCAATCTTTAAATGCTGGCACATTGCTAAGCATGAGCTATACATAGCGATTTTTTGCAGGTAATTTCTAAATTTGTAGAAATCTGTGTTAGCTACACCCGAAATTTATACACTGCTCTCTAGTTTTGCAATCTTCTAGGCATGAAAAATAACACAATAGAAAGTTTTATAATGGTTTAAAGTTGGATAACTTTGCCATTATTTGAAATTTTGACAACCATCTAAATCACAATTTACTGATTATTTCTGATTATTCACATAACCAATTAGCAGATCTTTTACAGATGTGGATTTATTTTATATTAAGTTCCTTATAAAGCAAGATCGGCATTAAAATTTTTGGTGGGCTATGCAACACATGATGACTTTAGATGATTCACATTGTATACAAAAATTAAAGGAAAAGAAATGGCTGAAACAAAGAAAATGGGAATTATATTTAGCTGCAAACTTTTACCAAGTTTACCTAAAAAGGAAAATAAATTTGTCAAGTTAGGGAATGAAAATTAAAACCCAATTTCAGCAGATACTATATGGTCCCAAAAGATGGCATCCCTTTTTTACAATCATTTATACTGATAATTTTAAAATAGGGGTGCTATTTTTCGGGACTATATGATAGTCAAAGCAAAAGAATGCCAAACAAAACCAACTAATAACTCTCTTTTCAGCACTTTGTTTTTAACTTCTTTAATCTTTAAAAAATAATTAATGTGAAACTAATTTATATAAAATCTACCATGAAACCCAAGAATTATAGTACAATCAAAAGTATTTTGAAGAAAGAACAGGGTGAAAAAATTACACCTTACATTTTTAAATTAGCAGACATTAATCTATGCAAGCATATTTAAATAAAGAAAGTATTACCTATGAAATTTATCAAGAAGAAAGAAAAATCATAATTGGTAAAAGAACTTTAACACAGGACCATGAAGAACTTGGAAAAAATAAAAAGTAAAAAAGAAATAATTCCAGCAAACCAGTGTTGAAAATTCAAGGTCCGGAATGTCCGGGTGTAACATTACACACCAATCAAATTTTTAATTTTTGAGATAGTTTCTAAATTTGTACTAGTTACACAACGAAATTTCAATACTGCAGCAAACTTGGGTTAATTCCTCCAGAAATCAATCAGCAGAGTTTCGGCAGGTTACATTGGGGTGTACCACATCATATGATTTACAAACATAGTCGATCACATATATAAATTTTTATTAAGAAGGATTTTTCATCAATCTTTTTTTTAATAGTAAACTTTGAACGAAAATAACTCTTTAAAGAACAGAGGTACAGATTCCA